TAGATATTAGGAAATCTAAAAATATGAGGCCTAGTATAAAACCGAACTTTACAGATCATTTTATGATATTATGAAGAGTAGTATCCTTTCACGAATCAAGAAGTCTTTCAATTATGTTAAGAAATGATTTCATATAAGATCTTAGATCAAATTTGTCAATCCTTGAGTGTTACTATATGACAAATTTTTAAAAGAGTTCTTCCATCTTTCTTAGTATTATCATACATAGAACATGACAGACTAAAATACAACTTGTTACTATTAGAAATTTCGAGAGTTATATCACTTTCAAGTTGTATATATTTGTAGAACTTCAATAACAGACTTTTTTTGAACGAACTAGTTGGTTAATTATTATGTTAAAAAGTCGTTTCGATTTAAAATTATACTGACGATTCTTTATATTACAGTTTGTATGGCATTGCATCGAAAAATTTAGTTCATCTGAAGACTTACTAATGGAATACTATTGAATCTGATTGTAAATAAAAACTTATACCTTGATTCTTGATCATCGAAATTCAGATTTGTATTCTTTTTTATTGTTTAGTTAGCTGTTGTTCATCATTTTGGCAAAGCTCTCGATGAAAATTGTAGTTCATGTAAAAGAAAATAATCTTAGATAGACTTGCTTGTTCTCCGTCATCTTATTTGTTTCTTTTAAATTTTTTAATTAAAATCCATCATTAATATTTATTTATGGATGCATTAACAAAGCATAATTCATCGAAAGATAAAGTTTCAACACATACTCCATATATTCATATTGATACAATTATTTTCTGATTATCATGATTGTTTTTGACTATGAATACTACCTAGAACAATTACACAAATTCTAATACCTTCTTCAACAGTAAATATTGAAACTATCGCAATTGCTGATGAAGATATTAATCTTTCATCTATCTATTTTAAAGAAAAAAAAAGAATATATACCATCTGATTCACAATTAAATACAAGCAAGTGACCTATGATTGAAGAAAAAAAACAACAAATTCAGAAATAAAATTGCGCCTTTTTTTTCTCTATTATTGTTGTATATTCAAGGTGAAAAGAAGATATGTTCATAAGATTGAAGAATGACAAAAGACTAAAAATTGAAATGTTTTTATTTTTAATTGCATATAAACATTTCAGAAGAATTGAATGCAAAATTTTTATTTTATACTCGTAATCAATGTTGTAAATAAGAGAAGATTCATTCGTAGAGCAAAATAAAAATTGTTCTTTAATATCTTCACAGTTTCGTGACTTTACATTCATTCTTCTTCGAATTTAAATATTCAAGAAATTTTTTTCTTACCGTGTAAACTATAAACGAGCGTTATAAGAACTTTACTAGGAAATTTGAGAATGAGTATTTATTCTACATATAAATATTTAACCTTACGAAAGAATATTTACAAATAAGACATTGAAAACTTTTATACAAACTATTCTTCATATTATTTTCTACGTAGAAGTATCTTCAATATCTTGTCAAATGTTTATTCATTTTCATGGACGTTGTTTTGTAAATTGTCTTATTCGACGATCACTTTCAATAGTTACTAGCAACTCTATAATACCTTCATCATTCATACTCATTTGTATCGTAGACAGTGGTCCATCTAATTCTTTACTTATACTTCGTCACACAATACCAGCAACAATTGATATTATTGAAAAATTACTTTCATTTTTTTTACCTTGTTCGATCTAATGATGTTGTATCTGATCATCTTGAAGTAAAAAATTTTATACAAATATTTACAAAAATAGCTGAACATGAACATGCGAAAAAACTACAAGAATTTTATTATAATATTTGCTTACAGTTCATCTGTTAAACGTAATTTAAATATTGCTGATGAGATAACATCAGAAAACGTTTTTTTCTACTAAAGATTGTGTTGAATGGTATAATAGTAAAATGAAAAACAAAATATTTTTTAATCCATTATTAAAAAAAACATTTTTCAAACAAGTGTACTAGAAAATACTCAATTTTGAGTATAACTTGATTGTACAACTGATCAAGCTGTTATTATAGAATTGGAAAATGGAGCATTTTGATTGTACTCAAAATTCTTCTTTTATCTATCGAAGATTTAGCTAAAACAGATATTACTGGTATCGTAGTACTTGATACACCTCATCAAAGTCGGATATGACATATGATACTTGTCGGTTGATGCAGACTAATTCAAATATTGTCATTTACTATAAAAGAATTTCGTGAACTTACTAAATTAACTGATTTACAATTAATGTTAAACAAAGAAGATTTTAAATGAATTGATCAAAATATACTTAATAAATTAAAAGTGTTCATTTCGAACATATAGAACCTGTAGTTAGTTATGATTTTTCTAACCATCTTGTCATTAAAACTATAGATTATTATGACATTCAAGTACGAATGAAGAGAATCTTGTTTTTTCCCCCGCTGAGTTTGAAAATTCTAATATTTAATAATTGGAAATGCAGTAAAGTGAGACGGATTATCTCTATAAGAGTCTAGACATGGTACTGCTCATGTCTAGAGTAGCCACCATGGATGAGTGACTATGAATGTCATCATGTGTGTGAAAGCAAGTAGGTTCGAATCTAGACGCCATTCTCCTCTATACTATGTAGTCTTGGATAAATTATTGAAGACTAGGATCAATTGACCATAGACTGACCAATATTCGAGAAATTTAACGAAAAAAAAAAACCATAACTTGATAAAGAAATTCTAATCATGTGTAAATTGACAATTTTCTTTTACTCTTAAAATCTCTCTAATTGACATGAAATAAATGTTCGGATTTTCTAATTGATAGTATACTATGACAAATTTGACATTTTGGATCAATGTATTCAACACCATTAGTTAATTTTGCATACTTATCACGTTGGTCACTACGAGTATCATCAAATTTGTATGCTGCATCTGAAAATGCACCAGCTATATAACGATCTGTTAGAAAACTTCAAATACATGAATGTATACAAAATTAGAAAAAAAATATGCAAACAAATTCTGCACCGTTGACAAGTATCACAATACAATTGTTCAACGTTATTATTGAAGCCATCTATAAATTTTTTTATATAAATTAAAATATTTATCACAAGACGAGTAAGTTTATAGTAGCTATATCTTAAAAACACATTTGTGCAGCTAAAAGCCTTCTTCATCAGGATTACTAGGCGCGAAGGCCTCAACATAATCACTTGAATGAGGACTTAAGGAAAATCAAGACGGTCAAAACCAAATTTCTCGTATCTGTTCAAAGGTTTTGAGAGAAATTTTTATTGGACAGAGCAAAATGAGATGTCTCCGACCTCTTCATGAACTTCCTTCATCGAACTGTCTTTCAGGCTCTCCGTAAATCGAAAACAAGTCAATGAAGGAAGTACATGGAGAAATTGATGACACCCTATTTTGCGCAATCAAATAAAATGTTTTCCGAAGATCTTAATCCAAGCAGTTCTGTTGAAGTCTTTGAATCTACTACTACTTATAGAAAATCGTTTCAGTTACACAAATGTTTTATATTTCAACATTCATTTCAGATCGTGTTTCACAAAAACATAATATCAGATACAATACATGAATCATTTCTTACCTGTTTTCATTCGATTTTGATTCATTGATTCAAAGCTTTCTCAACTTCTTCTGACGATCGATTAGAATCGATTTCTTCAACGGATGCTTCTACAGTAGTCTAAAGTTTTTCATATACTATAAAAGATGAGTCATTCATTTGTCATAAAAATGCATTGTTTTCTTCTTTCAATTATCAGTTCTTATTTTGCATCACATCTGATCACTACACAAAGAAAAAAAAATACTACGAACAAAAATGGTAATCTAGAAGATTATTCCGAAAAGTAGATTAATCATCGACAAGAAACAAAAAAGGATAATAACATATGAAGTTTTCTGTTTTGAGAAAACAAAGATAGTCATTTCTTTATCAGTTTATACATTCATTGTAAAAGTATAGAAATCAAATGAAAGAATTAAAGGTAATTTTCAACGAACTTACGTTCTTGAATGGTTTGTATAAATGACGACGAATCCAAATGACGAACAGCTTTCGTAAGTGGATCCTAAAAAAAGAGATAAATGAAGTCGAAATTGAAAAAATATTGTTGAATTCTTTTGGCAAATAGATCATATCAATCAAAATAGAGCGAATAAAAATTCAACTTGAAACAACAATATGTTTTTCGAGTGAGACGATGTTCATTCAATGAGTAATAGAAAAGTTCAGAATAGTTTCGTTTTTTGAACCTTCGTTGTTTTTCAATAGAAACCTGTAGTCCTACTCAAGTCATATGAAAGATCGACTTCCGAATTCAAATTTTGCATGAACATGAATGTTATGCTTTGATTTGCACTGAATCTTAAGGACGTTCGAGTTCATTTTTATTGAAGCATAACTGACCGTTTTTATTTCTCTTTCACAAAAATATATATATAACAAAAAGAATACAAGAAAAGAAAGAGACAATCACGAACACGAAAGAGTTATAACTGTATGAATAGATGGCAGGATATAACACCCTTACCCCCCAAGAAAAAGTTTTTTGAATACAAAAATACTTTTTTATGAGAAAATATAACAACAAAAATAGTAACAACAATATGAGAAAAAGAAACTGACTAGGATATAACAATATAAAAGAAAGTGAACGACAAGAAAGAAAGAAAAAATATATATATATATATATTATACCAACAATAAAAAAAATATATTACCAACAACAGGAACACTAACGTCGAAATAATTTTCGATAATAAAAATAACTCTGTCTGTTGAATATGTTCCTTGGTAGTTGATGTTCAGCTATATTTTCACTTTGTTGGTTTTTCAGTCCAATTAATAAATTCTCACCATCTTCTCTAACATGTGTATAATTAATATTATATATACGAAGAATTTTCCGGATTGTTCGCTTTGGAAAATAAGGATACCATTTACGTTTAATTGAATAATAATAACGTCTCTTTTTAAGTGCCCTATTTCTTCGATGATTTTTTTCTATGTCGGGCTTGTACGGATCGTTGTTGATTCTTTGTGTATCGTTTCGTTGGTGCTGGTTCATCTCTATCATCATTTAATAAATTATCATTAACTGGTTCAGGTTCTTGTTGTTGAATTTGTTCAATTGGTTCATCATCATTAATAATTAGTATATAATCAGCATCAATTGGTTCGATTTGATCTTGTAATAAATTAATTTTATTATTATTATTATTATTATTATTATTATTATTATTATTATCTTGTTCATTTTTATAATCATTTGGTTCAATTAATTGATTTAAATATATCTCATCATCTGATGAAATTAATTCATAATCAGGATCCTGAATGGATGTAAATATTTTCGACAATTTTTGAATATTAATATTTTTTTTCTTCTTTTTCGATTTTTGTTGACGTAATGGTGGTGGTCGTGTTGATTGAAATGTAATAAACATTTCTTCAATGCTTGATTCTTTTGTTCTTGTAAACGACCATTGTTCAGTAATTGGTTTGATGAGATAAGTTACCGCCATCACGTCGTATTTAGCATAATTTATCATTTTTGTACGTTGTGCATGTGTTAATGATGAACCAATTGAAGATAGGCCATATGACCAATGTGACATGGTACTTGTTTTATCTATAAATAAATTAAAGCTATATAAAAATGCTTTCTGTAATGACCAGAGCTGCTGTTCATTGTATGGACTTGGACGATGACATGTACAAGACGATGTTGACAATTTTCGTTGATCAGCTGTGCTATCATTATTCTCCATCGCCTGTTGTTCCAGGCTCTGGACCCTACATTGAGTCTGAGCCCCCTCATACCAACCAGGAAAGTGCGGCTGAAGGTTAATTAATTCTGATTTTATTGGCCATGCGAATAAATAATTTGCTGATTCAAGTTCGAGGTTCATGTCCCCCCCATGAGTATATTTCATTACGTGATCTAAAAATTAATTTAAAAATTTCTTTAATTTTTACATACAAGTGAGAGTCCCGATTTGGTAATTGTGATAGTTCGATAATAAGTACTTGTGATGGTAATGTACGAGGAATTGTATGAAATTGTATAATAGATAATTCATGGTTTGATATTTCACTTTCAGTATCTACTGAATATTGATAACAATCATTAATGTGATTTAACACTTTGTCCATAACTTCCGTTGACATGTATCGGTTGACAAGTATAACTTCATAACTTGTTTCTGGAATAACAAATGCAGGATAAATTTCCTTCAATCTTTGGTTCACAATAACCATGTCCATGATGACTTGTATATAAGTGTTTTAATTTAAGTAAGTGTAGAACCGAATCGAGAATAAATAAATGATGTATTAGAAAGTGCAAGTAAATAACCAGTTGATGATGATGATCATAATTCAAGGAGTTGAATAATCAGTAAATAATAAATAAAATAAAGGATATTCATTTGAAGACGTTATTGACCAATAGCCATTGGTCATCCATTTAAACAAAATTCACTTGTTACGTAATATTGATCACAGATATCGTTAACATAAGGACGAATTTATCACCTAATATGATTGGTTTCGTTCAGAAACAATCCTTTAAAGAAAGTTTCCATTGATGACTCATCATTTCTTTTTTTTTTTTTTTTTTATATAATTGTAAATCTTGTCATTATTAATTTTCCATTTGGATTTGATAATAAAATTGATTTATTAATGCGCGCATATTAAAATATCAATTAATCCAATTCATAGATGATAAATGTTATTCCATATTAACCGTTGCGCATACGTTTAATTTGGTTTAACATAATCATCATAAACATAATCCATTTCCAAAATCAATAAGAAATATTTATCAATAAATAGATAATATTAATAATGATAAAAATACTAATAAAAAAATATTGATAAGGAGTTTGATAAAAATATTGAGGAGTTTAATGTTGTTGATTTTTGTTTTATTTAAAATTTTTTTTTTTTTTTTTATTAATTTAATTTTGAAACATAAATGGGTCTAATATCATTTATGTGCACTTGTGTTTCAATTTGAGTTATTTCATCTCGAACAACGTAAACAGGATGTTGTGCACGAATAATAATTTGTGGTGTAATTGAAAATTTTGGTTCTAATTTATATTTTAATCCATGTCTTCTGACTAAAACACGATCATTAATTGTATAATGAGGATCAGGACGTCGTTTATCATATTGAGTCTTATATTGATGTTGTTTACGAATAATATTTTCACGAGCATATCCATGTATCAATTTCATACTTTTCTTTAATTGCTCATAATAATCATTTGGTTTTCGAAATGTAAATGATGATTTTTTTTCCATCAGTAGGTAATCTTGGTTCTCGACCATATAATAATTGAAATGGTGAATACTGAGTTGTTGAATGTGTTCCTGTATTATATGCAAATACTACAGGTGACAGAAATTCATCCCAATTATTGTTCTCTTTGTCTTGAAGTTTAGCAATTTGAGGTACAAACGTTGCGTTGAACCTTTCTATCATTCCATTTGATTGAGGATGGTATGTGGTTGAATAAGTATGATTATATCCAATCAATTTCGACATTGCTTCCATTAATTGATTATGAAAGTGCGTTCCTTGATCGGATAATATGACTGCCGGTACCCCATACTTGCAAATGTAGTCATTAAATAATGCTTCAGCGGTAGTCTGAGCTGAGCAATCAGGTACAGCAGCAGCAACCACCCATCTTGTGAAATAATCCGTAAGGCATAGTACATATTGATTACCACGTGGAGTTTGTTTAAATGGACCACAATAATCCATACCGATTAATTGAAATGGTCCTTCAGGTGATGGGATTGGTTGTAATCGATCAGGTTTTGTTCGATCTACTAATGTTATATTGTTGACAAGGTAAACATGATTGTATATATTGTGTAATAGATTGCTTCATATTCGGCCACCAATATTTATTTTTAATTTTCAAATATGTTCGTTGGACTCCAAAATGACCACTAAGAGGGTCACTATGATAAACTTGTAAAAGATCGTTAATCATAGATGAAGGCAAATAAATCAATTTTTTCTTCGTATTACAACCTTCACGCATAATCATTAACTTATATAATAAACCATCTTTGAATTCATAAGTACTTTTAATTGGATTTTTCATAACTTCTGCAATTGTGTGTTGAATATCCGAATCTTTTCCTTGTTCAATTTTTAATAGTTCTATATCCAGTGTATTTTTTGCAATAATTTGTGATGGATCTTCTTTCATTTGATCAGTTTCTTCTTCTATTGGTGGTAATGTTATCTTATTTCTATCTGTTGGTGTTGTTGTTGAATTTTGATCCTGTTTTAATTGTAATTGTTTCGCTTAGATCTTGTTACGATAGCTCCAGCTAGTGGAGGAATTCCATCAGGAACATGACCCATAACAGCCGGTTCCCTTTTATCACGTTTAGCAATACCATAATCTTCATCAAATA